ATTATAAGTAGCATTTCGGCCAAAAAATTAAGTATGATAGAAAATCTGCAACGTCGCCAGCGAGCCTCGCGGTTTGGGTGTTTGCGCCGTCGACATGCATAGAGAAAAAAAGGAGGTGTTTGCATTTCGGGCATCTTGAATGACATAGGTCCTTATAACGAGTTTATCATCGATTTTCTTGGAAATTGTGTAATTTATGGAAAAAATGTGTTTGCATTTCGGGCATCTTGAATGACGTAGGTCCGTATAACGAGTTTATCATCGATTTTCTTGAAAATTGTGCAATTTATGGAAAAAAGTCATTCTACAAAAAGTGCTTGAAATTATATCATGAGTTGATTTAAGCAAAAAAAATCGGACATTATGGTCCGCTTTTCATACCTCGCATTCCGCGTTTCGCTGGCCAGGTTGTACCGGCCTACGTCACAGGGTAAACAAACCTCAAGATGCAAACACCTCCTTTTTTTTCTCTACGGTCGACATGAGGTCAATACCCCATCAATTGAAATGTTTGCCTCTTGCCCCTTCATTAGCCTCCGTAAAACCCGTGCGGAATGAAGCATGCGACTTATTGAGCTTCTGCGTGTGCTGTGGTATCACTCAAAATTGAAGGCACTTTTTCATTCGTGGAGCCATCGTCGTCGCGTTGCGCTGAATGTCTTTGTCAGTCGTCATACCGGACTTTAACTTTCCATTGGATTTTCCTGCGCAAATTGAGCGCAAAATTTAAGCGGTCAGTGGAGAAAAGGTTCAGCTTAAGTTGATTCGATGGACGCCATATTTTTTTGTCAGAACGGCATGCGATATATCGCATCAATTGGTTCCATTTTTTCAGCTACTCGTCATTTTTCTCCAATTTTGACGTCGCAATTCTGTTGTCAGGAGACTAAAGCACGCACTTACCAATTTTAGCAAAGAAATTCAACGTAATAAAGGCGTGGTGTTTTAAGAGAGATAACATTGCACTCGATACTGATATCGAAACACTACTCGAATGCGATATTTTCTCTCTAAAAAAACCACGGCTTTATTACGTTGAATTTCTTTGTTAAAATTGGTAAACGAGGGCTTAAGTCTCCTGACAACAGAATTGCGATCTCAAAATTGGAGAAAAATGACGAGTACCTGAAAAAATGGAACCAATTGATGCGATATATCGCATGCCGTTCTGACAAAAAATATGGCATCCATCGAATCACTTTAAGGCAGTTTTGCGCCTGTTTTCTGCAAGGGGAGAGGAATAAATACGCCTGCCAAAATGCCTTCCGTAATATTCGAACGGCCCCTCTTGTTTTCTGTGTTGAATTTTCCGATTTGTTTCAACATTCTTTCATAGTCGATGCCACTATAAGGATCAGCAACTGTTTCTCTCACTCAGCGAAAAACTAATTGCCTTTGGACATGTCAATAGACAGATTTAGTGGCTACGTCATAGTTCAATTGTAAAGATACACGCAACCTTCACTGGAAAAAAGTCTCTTAAAAAAATTTGACAAGAAAATATACTGCGTTGATTCAATCGGATTTTTGCTTGAATCAAAAGGAAATACGCTTATATGAAGAGGCTGGCCCTTGATTTAAGCAAAAATTTGATTGAATCAAGAGTAGTTCTTCTCGTCGAAAATTTTAAGAGTCTAGATTCAAGATCCAAGAGACTTTTTTTCCAGTGTTGCCTTTGATTCGCGTCGTTCGCGTCATGATGGTCAAATGCACTCCACAGTGCGTTTTAAACACTTTTAATGCGGTCAACATACCACCCGCGATTTTTTTGCGGAAATGTCAACTAGAAATTGAAGGCCTACTGATTGAGGAACAACAAACCGCGCAAACTAGTTTGACCGTTTTTGAGAAAATGCGATTTTTCGCTTTTTTGGCGGGAATTTTGGGTCAAGGCGCTGAAAAAGTCAAGTTAGGCTATTTTTGTGGCTCGTAAATGCATATCCTATACATTTTTAGTCGATCAAGTGCCCGAAGATAGCTATCCGTGCATATTGCCCGAAATTCATATCCTTAAACCTACTACTTTCGGGTTTTTGGGGGGTTAGTCAAGGAGAAATCCGAAAAAAAGAGGGTTAACCTGGAACAAATTGCTTAACAAACTTTTCAATATGCACGAATAGCTATCTACTGGCACTTGATTGACTAAAAATGTATAGGATATGCATTTACTAGCCACAAAAACAGCTTATCTTGACTTTTTCAGCGCCTTGTTCCGAAATTCCCGCCAAAAAAGCGAACAATCGCATTTTCTTAAAAACGGCCTAACTACAGATTTCGCGGTTTGTTGTTCCTCTATCAGTAGGCCTTCTAGTTGACATCTCCGCAAAAAAATCGTGGGTGATATGTTGACCGCATTAAAAGTGTTTAAAACGTACTGTGACTCATGTGTTTCTCACGATCTAAATTTTACCTTGAATGAGTCCTTAATTGATTTAGGGCCTAACAATGCCTAAATTGTAATGAATTAACGCATTTAACTCACGAAGAATTTGCACGCGGGGCTACATTAGGTCACATTTTTTCTGGTTTGAGCCAAGAGTTTGATATTATGTATATCAAATGACGTAGTCGCTAGATCAGTCCATTCTGGCCATTCAAAGAAGATTCTATTTTAAGAAAATTTTCCCCATAAACATACAGGGGAGGGCCGGGAGGCATTCGGTNNGGGGCTACATTAGGTCACATTTTTTCTGGTTTGAGCCAAGAGTTTGATATTATGTATATCAAATGACGTAGTCGCTAGATCAGTCCATTCTGGCCATTCAAAGAAGATTCTATTTTAAGAAAATTTTCCCCATAAACATACAGGGGAGGGCCGGGAGGCATTCGGTTTATTTTATGGTGTCAAATAACACGCTCAAAATCAGTTAGACCTCGGGGCGCTTATGATATTTTGAAATTCTGATCTATGGATTATGCAATGCAATCCTCTAAAGATCTAGATTTCAAGCAAATTCCGGTAATGATGGAATCAATTCTCCTTGAGATCCCTCCACGGGTGCAGAATGTTTACTAACTAACGACCGATCAGTCGTTCGCGAACTGCGTATAGGCAGTGTGAAAATTGCGCAGGCTAGAACCTTGGATAATGAATTTTATAAAGTGCATTACTTTTTGATAAATATGCGCTCCGTTTATGTGTGCACCTTCCAAAGTTGTGTGCGCGCGCCGCCCTACGCATTTCGGAACTTATACAATGGGCCAGTTGCGCCGGTAACAGAATCATGTTTTGATGCTTGATTCTTGTAGATCAGCTAAAAATAAGAGGATCTGTCCAAACAGCAACTTTCTACGTTGAATATTAACCGAGATCTCGTCCTTTTTGAAAACCCGCGGTTTTGACGTCATCCATCGCGGTGGTGCATAACATGGTATGTATACTACCGCGGTGGATGACGTCATAAATCGAGTTTTTCAAGGCGCGATACCTAGTTAATATTCAACGTAGGAAGTTGCTGTTTGGACAGATCTTATTATTTTTAGTTGATCTGCAAGAAAAAGTGTAAAACACAATTCCGTGACCAGCGCAACTGACCCATTTTGCCGTGCTAAAGAAGAATGCCGTATGAACCTTCAAGCGTTGCCAAACTGCCTTTGATAAAGTACGAATTCCGTGGTACATACACTTAAGTATAATTTTCTTCCAATTTTTCAGAGAATTTTGTTCGCATTTAGATCTAAAGTGCCTGAAAATTTCAAGGAAATTTTACATTCATAACTTTCCTCAAAAATGAATATTTTATCGAAGGTTTTTATATTTTTTTTTATCGATTTTTTTATTTTTTTTATTTTTTTTTTATTTTTTTTTATTTTTTTTTATTTTTTATTTTTTATTTTTTTTATTTTTTATTTTTTTTTTATTATTATTTTTTTTTTTTTATTTTTTTTTGGTAACTCTCGAATGTTCATACGGCATTTTTCCTCAGGACGGCGGCATTGGCGCGAATCGCGAGTCGAGCAAGAGTCGAGACTCGAAACCTTTACTAGAGATCGGGTAGAGATCAAGCGATGTTTGAAGTATCCCATCAGTTTTGCAGGCGCTTCTCGTGATTGTTTTTGGAGCAGAGTCCGAAGTTCTCTAGAATTTTTTTTCCGGTAGATGAGGTCCCTCCTCACAGATCCCGATCACAATCATGAAGCAACACACCTTTCTAGCATATCAATAACAATGAAAGAAATGGTCTCTTTTCCGCTGATTCAGACTTTTGAGAAAGAGTAGAAAAGTCGGATGGGGCGATACGCGTGACGCAAACTATTTCGATTTCCGAGTAGGTGAAATTGCGTATCCACGCAATGAAGGAGATTTTTTTTCCGCTGACATAGAAACTTTAAGGCTGTGTCTGCACCGAAGATCGCCACAAAAATATCGAGGCAAAGAAGTTGGATGGGGTGAAACTCTTAACACGACTACTTCGACTTCCAAAACGATAAAATTGCAAATCGACGAAATCAAGAGAACTCTTTTCGGCCGACTTACAATTAGAGACATTAACGCAGGAGCAGAAAAGTTTGATAGGGCAGACCGCATGATATAAATATTTCGACTTCCAAGATGATTAAATTGCATATCGACAAAATTAAGGAGAATTTGTTCTCGGCTGACGCCAAGATTTTAACGCAGGAGTAGAAAAGTTGGATGGGTCAAGAGCCAAGCCAGGGGCGAGACTACACATCGGGTTCCGCGCCGCGCCGTGCGTAGGCGAGATGACGCGATGCGTGTAGTATACCTACAGTTTTGCAGACTCTCTCCGCGATCGTTTTTCGCGCTAAGTTCAAAGTTTCGGAATCAGAATTACGTAGCGACCATACATAGAAACTTTTGTGTTTATTTTCCGCGCTATACGTTTTAAACCTCAGGAACTTATCAGCCCTTCTAAGGCAGAGCTTACAGTCTCCACGAGGAACAGGCTTTTAGAGGAAATCATCTTTAATTTTGGCCTGAGCTCACGGCGGCGCGGCGTCTTATACCTCGGCCCCATTTTCGTTGTTCATCCCCATTTTCACACGTTCATATTTTCAATTTTTCGTAGGTATGACCAGGGCATGTGAGAGGGGCATGTAATTATGGCATTAAGTTCTTCTAGACGCGCGTGGAGTAAGAATTCTAATTAAAATGGCGCACGGGTAAAAGCTTTTTCCCTCCTACAGGCTGTCATCATTCTTATAACAGGTCCATTATTAATACCTCGTAAATGTCCGTGCATTTCCTCGAGATGGGAAAGGAGGGCTAACAAGTTACGTAAGATTTTTTTCCTAAGTATGTAAAACCAATCCAGAGGTATATTTCAGAGCCCAGGAATTTTTTGTTTTAAATTAACAAGTTAAAACCCACAATTTGCGCACAGATGAGCGATCATTGTGGTCAGTGTAAAGTTCAATTTCTTTGAGTCTTAGCAAGTCAAAACAGCACAGGTTTCAATCAATTGCGATTACATAGCAAAGTTACTGCAATTAAATCGGAGTGTTAAATATGTTGTCTATCCTCTGTTTGAAGGGACTTCTCTTATTGAAAATTTGAATAAAATCGCGATAAGTTGCACTTTTGTTGTATTTCGAATTGCCTAACGGCCTCACTCATAAAACTATTAGATCGTTTATGATGTGACTTTATTAACCAAAAAATTTAAAAATAACACAATTTAAATGATAAAAAATTGTAATTTTTTCTATTGACTTGTACCCGTTGCTCCATGCTCCATGGGGACAATAATATTATATTTATGACATTTTTATGTTGGATTTATTTATTAAAGCATTCATCTAATAAAGTATTTCTTTCTTTCTTTTGCAGTCAATATTTTGTGGTCTTTCCAACATTCGTCAAGGCGGTGCACAAAGACAGAAAATGTTTACTCTGCATCAGACGAGCTGTTGCTGAATTTACAGATCATCACTTCATCACGGTAAAATCTCCCAAACTCCTTCCTGCTCTCAGAATTAACTGTCTCGATTTTTCAAAGTGAGCTGTTGCAGTATTCCTCCTCACCTCTCACAGTGATTCTAAATGGGGTTTAAATCGAAGTCGGTCGTGAACGAAAAATTTGAGATGGAATGTCAAGCGGAGTACTCTTAGTTACTAAAACTACTATTTTGAAATAGTTTGTGGAAGCTCCTGGAGAAAAAATCGCGATTTAATGGGTTTTTTAGGCTTTTTTAGGCTTTTTTTGTTTTTGTTTGTTTTTGTTTGTTTTTTGGAAAAAAGGCTCATATAGGACACCTAAACTCCCCCCCNAACCCCCCCCCCCCCCTGCGCCATTTCTTATCGAATTTATGTGAGTTTTTAGCATGTTGGTCTCCGGTATGAGGTACGACTTTCCCCCTTCTCTTTTGATTGATTTGAATTTTTAGTAGACTATTTGAATTTCGAATATGAGACACAAAAATCCTAGAATTTTCATGACCGGGAAATTTTTTCCCGCTCGTTGCAACGATGCCTAATTTTAAACTTGAAAATGTTGGATTTGGAGGTAGCACGATGAAATGGGCCCATTTCTCGGTAGGTTAAATAATTAATAATTTTTGTTCTGGGGCTACAATGCTCCTTTCTCGAATTTAAATTTAGAAATTTTGCAGCACTTGGACGTCTCAAGATTTGCCATTGATTGCGCGTAGCCTCTTGCGTCAAAAAACTGTATCAATTGAGTGAGATTTATTCTGCTAGAGAAAAGGAGGAAGGAAAAGAGATAGAAGAAAAGAGGAGAAAAAGAGGTGGAAAAAAAGAGAAGAAAACAGAAGAAAAAGAGGTAGAAAAAAAGAGAAGAAAAATAGGTAAAAAGAGATGAGAGATAGGGGGAGAGATGAAAAGAGAGATGAAAAGAGAGATGGAAAGAGAGATGAAAAGAGAGATGAAAAGAGAGATGAAAAGATAGATGAAACGATAGATGAAAAGAGAGATGAAAAGAGAGATGAAAAGAGAGATGAAAAGAGAGATGTAAAGAGAGATGAAAAGAGAGATGAAAAGAGAGATGTAAAGAGAGACAAAAAGAGAGAAGAAAAGAGAGACAAAAAGAGAGAAGAAAAGAGAGAAGAAGAGCAGAAAGAAAAGAGAAAGAAGAGCAGGAAGTAACGAGAGAAAAAGAGAAAAGAAAGAAGAACAGGATGGAGAGAAAGAAGAAAACAACAAATATTCAATTAACTTTCTTAATTTACTTTTCAGTCCCTCCCCCTCCCAAATAATGTGGTCTTAGGGATTTTAAATATTCTAGCGCCCAGTATTATTAGTACGGGGGGGCGTACGCTACCGCAGCTTTTGGTTCGCGGTCGCAGTAGTGCTTGCACTTCCGTTGGACGGTCGGCAGCCATGGCATCCGTTGAAGGCCGTAACCAATGACCCAGGACCCGGGTGCACGGGAAGGCCTGAGGGCGGTAGAGAAAACCCCTTCGATAGATAAAACATGTCTGAGTTGGCAGGGGTCCATGATGGCGGGACGAATAATTAAAATCTCTTCCTCATCTCTGTTTTTCTTCTTTTAGTTTTTGTTAGGGAGTGGATGGGTATAGGTCTAATGGGTAAGGTATGGGACTACTATCTTCTTAACTTTTCTTGATATTTCAAACGCACAATGCTCACGAAAATTCTATTCCCTCCTCTTTCACCAATAACTCCCATCCATTCATTTGACTCCATATAATTATCTTCGTATCGTTTCTCTTCTTTTTAATTAGTAATGATAGTTGCACAATTGGTAATTATTTTTCCTAGCAATAAATTAGAGCTCCTTATCCCTATCTTTTTCATCAATATGATTTTTGTTTTAGGGTTAAAATGCCCCTTTCTTTGGCATACATTAATTATTAAAGAGAATAGAGGATGAATAAGGAAATAAGTGACTTGGGGGGGGGGGAGGAATTCCGTTGTAAAGAGTGGAATTGAGACACTAAAATTACAGTAGAAATTTAATAAATACTATAATTTAATGTAATAATACAATTTAATAAAAATAGAGCTTGATGCCATTGAACGATATGGCAAACTGCCTACATGAATTATTGAATTTGCCCGGAGATTTTATAGAAACAATTTTTTGAATCGAAGGAAAATATACAGCAAGTTCAGCTGTACAATTTAGAGTTGCAATGTACGTCCAGTGCTCTTATTTACCTATGTCCTAGCCTGACTTCTCATCGGAGCAAGCTACGCTTTTTAGAATCTCAAAGGCAATATCAACTCCATTATAAATACTTGTGGGTAAGACTTGATAGGGGATATACGGATGAGAAAGGACGGACTCCATTATCTAAAGTTATTTTCATTCGAAATTAATTTGATTTGCAATCATTACAACATGCAGCCCCTGATAATGTCACGTCGAATCCTCCAGCAGATGGCGGTACCGTTTTTGCCAAAGTTAATGAGTCATCTTTAAACTAAAGCATTTGATTAAATTCAATCGGTGACTTTGCTTTATCCGAAGTTTATAAACATATCCATACCTCCCTTTTACTCCCTTGTACACATACTTTTTTACTTTACCATATACAATTTTATTAAATTTCCAAATGCCAACATTTTTCTTTAACAATTTAAATGGATGAGGTAATAAAAAGGGCCTTTCCAAATTTAATATGTATGCTGATTTATAACTAATTGAAAAATTATTTAATGTAGCTCATATAAATTTTGAATCATATGCATCTCGTTGGTATGAATCCGAACTAAAGTGAAAGTGATTACTTGGATGTAAATGCCCTCACTAAGACACGAATAAAGATATGAAAACGAGACGAAAAGGAGACGAAACGGAGATCAGATGAAAAAGAGATGAAAAGGAGATGAAAAGGTGATGATGATGAGATGAAAAGGTATAGACATAGGGGAGATAGGTAGAGATAGGTATGGAGATAGGTATAGAGATAGGTAAATGGATAGATGATATAGAGATGAAAAGGAGGTGAGATGAAAAAGAGATGAAAAGGAGATAAAAAGGAGATAAAAAGGAGATAAAAAGGAGATAAAAAGGAGATAAAAA